TTTTTTTTTTTTTTTTTTTTTCCCTCCTTTTCTTTACCTCACAGTGCTTCATATGTCGAGCAGCTGATATCAGTAAAATATGTTAGTGCACCATCCATCTGCTGTGGGCGTTGGATTTCTGGTGGCCTGCCTCGCCTGGAGCTTTTCCACAAACGGGGGAGTTTAATATTGTTAGGACAGTTTAATGCAGGTTAGATTTCTTGTAAAAACTGATGAAAACTAACAAGACCCAATTCACTCACCCAGTGCCTACTCATTGTGTGCCACGCCCTCCCGGTGTCTCACTGAGTGCCCAGAACATTCCTCAAGAGGGGACGGTCTCATTTTCCAGATCGAGAAACCGGGCTTCAGATTAGGGATCTGCCCACGCTGTCCCAGCTAGTCACCCAGAGGTGGGACCAGAGCCCAACCCCCTGCTCCAGCCCTGGCCTCCCTTTATGCTCCTGTGTCGCCTCCCAAAGTCCTGGCTGCGGGACCAAGGCCAGTCCCTCGGGGCCTGGGAGAGCAGGGCCAGGTGCAGCCCCCCCAGGAAAGAAGGGAGCCAGGTAGAGAGTCCAGGTTCTGAAAGGTGAGCAGACTTTTTTTTTTTTTTTTTTAGGGTTGCTTATTTATTTTGAGAGAGAGAGCACGAGTGGGGAAGGGGCAGAGAGAGAGAATCCCAAGCAGGCTCCACGCTGTCAGCGCAGAGCTCAACACAGGGGCAGGTGCAGGGCTCAAACTCACCATGAGATCATGAAGACTCAGATGCTTAACCCACTGACGCACCCAGGCGCCCCAAGATGAGCAGATTCTTGACCCAGCCTAAATGTGCTTCCCAGGAGAGCACTTTATGGCCACAGCAGTTTCTTACCGTGTTACTGATACTGGGGTGTGGGGGCGGGGTGCGAGCAATCAAAATGCCCTCTGCCAAAGAGACATGGGGGGTAAAGATGGGCCACCCCCAACTGGAACAGTATGCAGCCCTTGCAATAATAGTCATGCAGAATTTGCATTAAGACCAGAAACACAAACGCATCCAGCAAGATATGGAGTGAAAAATGCGTGATACAGAATCACATGCAGTGTGATTACAGCTGCACAGAGCAAAGTTAGAAAATTGTGGAAGTAAATTCATCTGGGAATTTGATATTATTAAGTTGACTTTTCAAACTAGGTGAAAGGATGAGTTATATTTAAAGTTGGAAGCGACGGGCTGACCACTCAGGGTGGAGGATGAAAACAGATTTTTTTTCCATCTCATTCTTTACAACCAAGGAATTGAAATGGCTCTCGGGTTTAAACATCAATCATTAAATCATGGACATACTGGAAGAAAACTTAGGCAGTATTTTGTTTTTAGTAACTTTGGAGTAGGTATTTCTAATTGAAAACCGAATTTTTAAAAAAATAAATAATAATAAACATTTTTTTCTTTTTTTTAATGTTTATTTACTTTTGAGAGAGAGAGAAAGCGCACGAGCAGGGGAGGGGTAGAGAGAGGGGAGACACAGAATCGGAAGCAGGCTCCAGGCTCTGAGCTGTCAGCACAGAGCCCGACGCGGGGCTCGAACCCACGAACCGTGAGATCATGACCTGAGCTGAAGTCAGACACTGAACCCACTGAACCACCCAGGCTCCCCTCACAATAAACATCTTAAAAGCATCAAAAAACTGGGAAGAAAAGAAATAAAAATAAAAAAAAAAACTGGAAAGAAATTTTTGCACCACATAAGAGCTCTTAGAAATTAATACGGAAAATTGAGCGCTACAAAGTGGACCAAGGAGATGTACAGATAGTTCATACAAAGAGAAATGCTCAGCTTTACTCAGCAGGAAAATTAGGCTTAATTTTATCCAGTGTTGGCACAGGAAAACAAACATGTATTGTTAGCAAGAGTTTAAGTTAGTGAGGTTTTTTGGGAGGGGAAGTTTCTCAACATCAGAACAACAACAACACATTGCATCTTACTCTGTGACCATATACATCCTCTGTTAGCATTTCATCCGACAGATTCCGTCTCAGAATTACACGGCAATATCTACATAATGATCACTGCAGAACTGTTTAGTAGAAAGAGGCGATAAACAAGCTAAGTGTCCACAGAGGCTGGTTACGTTAATTATTTAATAAGAATGAGGAAGAATGTTTCCAGAGTGTGGAAATGAGGAGAAGAGCAAGAATGCCCAGTGTGCTGTGATCCCTTTTGTGTTCAAAGGGGCGGGGAGTGTATGTTACGCTCTCGTATATTACATCGGAGTGTCTATATTTGTGCATGTGTTTTGTTTTTGTTTGTTTTTTTTAACTTGGAGCCTCTATTAGTTTTATCATTAGAATATGCAAAAAACACGAGCAGGCTTTTTCCATAGGTGATGGAGATGCGGGTGATTTTTTTTTTTTTTTTTTATGCTGTAATTTCTACTTTTCTATATTCCCAGGTTCGTTAGTATGAGCGCATGTGTTCTATTCATATGATGTAAAAATAATAAACTTATTTTTAGACATCCTCTGCAGATGAGGAGCAAGGAATGCTATTTATTGACCAGGGAATTCATTTGGAGATCAGGGGAAATGTAAATCTGGGGATGTTGGGTTCAGACATTGAGAACCACCCATTAGGTATTACGGTCACATCTGCATTCCATTATAACAGACATGGAACAGCTGTCACATCTATTAGCACATCCTTTATCCCAACAAATTCCTTCATTGTGTCAGCAAAATGTAAATGTATCATTCTTCTTGGGTAACTTCAGAAAACAATGAGTTCGTGATGATGGTTGGGTTTTTTTGTTTGTTTGTTTTGTTTTTTTTTTAATATCTGGCATTTGAAGAACAAGTCACATTTAAGATAACCGGCTGCGTCAGTTAGCACACGTCAGGATGCACCCTGCACATTCGGTCCTACGTGGGTGCAGAGTCGGGGCGCCAAAGATCAGGGAGCGGGCGCGCGCCCACCGTCAGCGGCCACCGATTGTGTGCCTCTCGCCAGCTGCCGGTCACCGAGCTGCAGAGCACACGAGACCTTCACGTTGGGAAACGAGATGACCAGCTTGGCTTTGTTCTCTTCCTTTCCAGAAAGCTGCAGGAGACACAGATGTCCACCACCTCAAAGCTGGAGGAAGCGGAGCACAAAGTCCAGACTCTGCAGACAGGTGTGCTGTCCGTCATCCTAATAAAGTCCGTCCAGGGCAGGCCGAAGTTAGGGGGCACTCCGGGCCGTCTCCCGGTTGCCCCAAAGCAGTGACTCCTCGGAGCCCCCAGCGCCTCCGCCTTCCCTTCGTTAGCCGCCCACCCCGAGTTGTTGGTGTCGGAAGCGGGAGGATCTGAATTCCATTTTCATCCTTCCACAAGCCATCCTTTCTTTCCTGCGCCTTTTCCAACAAACACATCTAAATCACCAAACTGTCAGGGACTGACATTTCATTTGGAACAATAATAGGAAAGAAAAAAAAAAAAAAA